GAAAATTAACTTGTAGCCAGCAACTTCCTGAGACAGTCCTGTACTTAAGCTACTGTTATATTAAACAACATTAGTGTTAAGGAATCCTGACTCCTAACAGTAAGTTTCGTCAGTTCAAGGCAAATGGAATTAAGATGGTGTCTGGTTTTGAGCAGAAAATTTATTTGAATTTCATTAAAGGTGAAATTAAGGCATGATCAGGGGTCAGCAGGGCAGGCCCTACGAGGAGAAGCTAAGGGACCTCGACCTGTTCAGCCTCCACAAGAGAAGGCTGAGGGGAGATCTAGTGGCTGTTTAGAAACTAGTAAGGGGGGACCAGCAGGCATTAGGAGAGTCCCTGTTCCCCCGAGCACTACCAGGAGTGACAAGAAATAACAGTCACAAGCTGGCACTACTTCACTGTCAGGGCGGCTAGGATCTGGAACCAACTTCCAAGAGAAATGGTTCTGGCTCCTATCCTGGGGGTCTTTAAAAGGAGGCTGGGCTGGATGAACACCTTGCCGGGGTCGTTTGACCCCAGTACTCTTTCCTGCCATGGCAGGGGGTTGGACTTGATGATCTGCTCAAGTCCCTTCCGACCCTACCAACTATGAAACTATAAGGTGAAAGCTGGGCACAAAAAACTAGCAAAGCATTAATGCAGGTGCTAAAATGCTTATAAACCCTAAATATGCCTCATCAAGTCATTCTTATGAGAACCTTTCTGGAAAGGAAATACCTTCAAGCTTCTCATTTTTTTTTCCCATTGAACAAACATTGCCTTGACTTTTTCTGTATTACAGCAGAACTGACTCTGACTGGTTTTCTACACATTAGTATTATTAGTGTTAGTACATCTCTGGCAATAGTTCTTTATTAATAAAGGGCTACAGCTAGACCAGTAGAATGGATACAGTCCATGTGTCTCCTTTCTGAATACTCATGCGCTCTCCTTTCTTACATTTATGTGCATGTAATTTATTAGCCAACCTAGTAAGGCTTTTGATTTAAAACCTCAAGGTTTCTCTAACACTTAATTCTTTTACATATTAAAAAAAGTATTTACTGAAAGCAGAAATGTAATTCCCTCAAAACAGGCCTCCCAAGATTCAGTATAGTAATAGCTATTATGCAACTTCTGTGGTTTTGTGAATAATCAGGAGTAATTGTCCTCATCTCATACATTATTTCATTTGATGCATATTGTGTAGGCTTCTCTCCTGACTAGAACCTCTTTTACCTGATGAGTTACAATGGTTCTTTCTGATGGATTAAATGTAGATTTAGGAACTGGGGCTGTTGTTAACTATTGACTCTCATTACTGACTTGCTATATGACTTCAGGCAAATTGCTTAGTTTTGTTTGCCTTATGCACCATAACCTCTTCTGTAAAGGGGCATGGTATTTGCCATCTTGTGAATGACTTTAAGATTTATTCAAAGTGTGCTATATGAGAGGAGAGATGTAAAATTTCCAGAAATTTTGAAGCCCTGGGGGGAAAAAAATGTTGTTGTTTTTTTTATGGAAAAAAACAAATTCTGGGAAAAATTGAAATGTGTGCAGTGCTTATTTTTTTTAGCACCCTTTACAGATCTAAATTCACTTGGCTACTTTAAGTACATAAAATGTGTTATGTATAATTTGGTTTGCTCATAAAATTATCATATTTAGTATATTTATTAAATTTAAAAGTATAGTTTATTCAGACTAATTACAAATTTACTAACTGAATTTACTTTAAAATGTTTTTAACTGTTGTTACAAATGGAGCTACAAGCTGCTGAACTCTAAGGAACCTAGCATCTCTTGGTTTTTGCCAGTTTTTATGAGAAGCAGTCAAAAATTAAAGTTGAAAATAGAAGAAACCATCAACATTATAGCAAAGCGAAGGAAGTTATTATGCATTTCCTCCACAGTATCAAGCAGATACAGAAAACTCTCATTTTCAGAAAAAGGGCTGAGAAAAAAGGGGAAAAAAAACCCCAGGACTCATTGAGTACAAATTTTGCTACATGAAAATTTGTCTAATCGGTCTCCTTTTCTGAGCTATCACTATCAGCAGTTTCTGCTGCTTCTGATTTTTCTGCTCCTTCATTTTTTATCATCTTCATGGACTTCTGAAAACTGAAGGTTTGCCCAGATTAAGACAAGCTTATCTACTCTTTCACATGTTAGTTTATTTCTTGATTTGGTGTATTTCCAAACATAGACCAATTTCTTTCACATGCTGCAGTAGATGGAGGAATCTGAAGCAGGTGAGAAGCAAGAAGAGTCAGAGGCTGTGTCATGCAAAGGCCTTGCCACCATGTTGCAGGAGGGGTATGCTTGGCAGAGTCCCAGACTGCATTCCTGGACCAAATACCTGAAGAAGTTCTGTATTCTGCAACAATTGAAAGTACTTTTCCAACATCAAGTCCTAAGTGTCTTGCTTGGTTTGTCAAATGCAGTAGCAGTGCACTAACTAAATCACTAACATTTCTGCCTTTGAATCTTGGATTCACGAGATTTGCAGCAGCGTGAAACGATTGGCAGCAACATTTTTCCCGTCTGTTAATAAAGTCTTTAACTTTTCTTTCTTATGTACTTGTTAGCAGAGATGCACTTAGATTCTCAAAAACAGTTGATTTTATCTGGGCCACTTGGTAAGGGACCTCATGAAGTCCCTTCCAGCCCCTAATGTCTATGAAATCTATTAAATCTAATGTCTGTGAATGTCTGACAAAAATGCACTGTCTGATTCATATCCAGTAATTGCTGAAGAAATTGGTTTTAGAATCTTCAGGGAGTTCTGCAGCTGAACCCAGAAGACACCTCATCAACTACAGTGTTCCTTACACTTCTGGGTACTTTAAGATACTCACTTATTACTGTTTCTTGAAGAGCTTCTTTTTTTTTTTTAGTAAACTTTCAAATTAGATGAGGTGGAGTGGTGATCTCGTTTTACTGCAGTGTTTGAGTGTCACTATTTTATTCTTCGCATTCTTTTCTTCCTGCTGCATGTTTTTTAACTTCTTTTGCTCTTCTGTAGATTTTTTGCAGTGTCCAACTTCATGACATCATTAGGAAGTAAGTTTGGTCCACGGGATGCACATCCTGTTGCAGTAATATGTGGATATTTATCCATGATGATCTTCCGTGCTGCTTTCATGTTACTTGCACTGTCAGTCAGCAAAGCAAATACTTTACCCCTCCCAATCTTCTGTAGGACTTTATAAAAGTAGTGGACCTGGTAGCAGCTTACTGCTACACTAGGGGAGTACATCAGGGGCTTAGTGAGCAACTGTTCACCAGGGCACCTGAGGGGAAAACCAGGAGTAATGGCCACAGACTCCTAGAAGACCGTTTCAGGCTCAACATTAGGAAAAACTTCTTCACAGTCAGGGTGTCTAGACTGGAATAAGCTCCCTCCAGAGGTGGTGCAATCACCTACCCTGGAAATCTTCAAGAGGATATTAGATAGTCACCTTGATGGGTCACATGACCCCCAGTTATCTTTCCTGCTTGGTGCAGGGGGATGGACCCGATTTGATCTTTTGAGGTTCCTTCCAGGCTTATAGTCTATGATTCTATATTTTACTACTGATATACTCTGCAGTATGCCTGTTCTCTCCTGTTTCAATGCTTCTATAAAAAACTGGTTGAGGTGTGGTTATCACAAAGTTTGATTCCTTTTCCCCACACATTTGTCCATCCATCCGTAAGTACTGCAAGACTTCATTGATTTTTTTTTTCCCTTGTACAGATTGAATTACACATTCATATTCTGACTCTAAAAGAGGCTTGCTCAAAGAATGTCTGCTGGGCAAATGGTATGATGGTCTTAGTAATTTAAAAGCTTCCTGCTAGTATGCATTTTCAGTTATTGACAGTGGTGTCCCAGAAGAATATATTGCTTTTGCAAGAGATTGGTCAATTTTTTCCTAATCTTCACATGTCATCTTGTCTACAAATGAAGCTATTGAGAGTCTTTTGTATACAGGTGGTTGCAATATTTGGTTACTTGAGGGTGTTGATTGGGCAACCCTTCGTGATGCTGATGTTATAGAAGAAGCAGCAGCAGTAGGAGGACTTCTGTATTGACAATGTTGCAAAGAGCTACTTGGACTTTCATCATCATGATCTACCTCCTCCTTACTTACACCCATGAAGGATTTTTTTAATGTCTTCAGGACACTTTACATACAAGGATGTGTTTGGTCATCCTAGTAGCATTTGGAAATGCATGTTTCATTTGACAGTATTTGCAGATCACTTTTTTTTTCTTAAAATGACTTGCAGTGTGGAAATGCTTCCTTATGCTAGAAGTTAGTCGCACCATTTTGTTGAGGGGGAAAAAAAGAAAAAAATGTAATTTAGCGGCTAGCTTGCATATATAAACAGTAAGCTACAGCATGTACAAATTTAGTAATGGGTGGAGGAATGGCCTCCTCAGTTAGCTGTGAACAACTTCCCTGCCCTGCAGGCCTTACCTTACTGCTAAGGTTGAGTGATTTGTCACAAAATATTAGATAAGTAGGAATTCAATTATGAATTACATAGGTTATGAAAATATAGTAATGCAGCTAAAATATCATTTAATATACTGACTTTGGAGAAATTTAAACTCTTAACTTTTAGTAAAGAAGTATACTTTCTTTTAGTTCCTTTGTGCTGCTTCTGTACTTCTGTGGATCTTGAGGTCACAGGGTCAAGAGGAGGCAGGTTCCTTCCAACTCCAAAACTTTTAGACTTGTTCTGTCTCCTTTCCTGAGGCTTTTGAGCAACAAGGGCCATAAGCTCCTTGTTTCTAATCCAGGGATCTTTTTCTCTGACAAAAAAATCACAAATTCTCTGACAAAACCCCCAAAATCTGTTATTAAAATTAAAAGCCCCCTGAAGCCCCCCCTAGCCCTGCAGGTACCCCTCACTTGCTTCCAATGCTTCTCCCAGTCCTGCTGGTACCCCTCACTTGCCTCCCACAAAGATCCACCCCAGCCCTGCCCTCACTGCCCCCACAACAGCCCTGTGCCCATCTCATGCCTCTTGCCCCCACCCACAGCCCCTGCCCCCTAGCCCTGCCAGTGGGGGTCCCCAGTTGCCAGGTCTATGGGGCCAGGGACCCAAGTCTGCAGCTCCCTGCCCTCAGGAGCAGGCAGCTGCAGTAGAAGCAGCCTGGAGCCAGCTCCCCCACTGATTTGCCTGCTCAGGCAGGGGCAGGGCTGGCTATCCCCAGCCCTACTGATGCCCCCTGCCAGAGGGTCCCCCAGCCCCCTGCCAGCCCCACTTACCTCAGGCTCCCGGAGGGGAGAGGGAAGCTGAGCCCGGAGCTGTGGCTGACTGAGCGCCTCAGGCCCTGCCCTTCCCCCTCCCCCTCTGGGTAGGGCTGGGGGTTTCCCGCCCTGTTTGCAAACAACTCTTGCAGGCTGGAGCTCAACCAGCCTGCAGAGCTCTTTGCAAAAGCAGGGAATCTGCGGGTTTCTCTGCTAAAAAGGGAAATCCGTGGTTTTCTCTGTTTTTCCGTGGGAAACAGAAAACCCGGATCCCTGCGTAATCTCTACAGGAATGAATGGATGCTGCTGCCAGTGTCTACTCCCAGTCCTTTGAGGCCTAGGCAGGAGGATAGGAGCAGATCCACCAACCTCTAGATCAAAAGTCAACAATAGAGGAAGTCCACAAACAAAGAAGGCACTGAATCCTTCTTCCTTCTCTTGTGAAAATGGCAGTGCCCCCTTGGGGGCAGAAATGCATTTTGCTCTTGCATTCAAGAGTTGTACTGTACTGGTTGTCCTTGGTGTACGGGAATTGTAATGATCTGATACTGTAGTAGATAGTCTTACATAAAAGTCTTCCTATTACATAGTTATTAGAAAACATTTTTGGGGAGTAAAGGGTAGCAGTATAGGAATACTTTATCTTAAACATTCTATTCATCATTCTAAACGACAATATTTCATAAGAGATTTTTTAATTTTTCTAAAAATTTTCAGTTTTCCTTTTTTTTTTTCCCGGGCCTTCACATCTCTATATGAGAGCCAAGTAGTGTTCTTAATACCCTTGATCTTCCTGTATGGCTGTCATGCTCCCAGTTATTGCTGTTTAAAGGTAGATCATGACTCATCATTGTATTTGCTGGCTGTCCCTGCTCCAATGTCTCTGTCAGTAGATGTCATAGGGATAAGAGAATTCTTGCTCCTTGTTGTGTAACTGCTTGCTGCCTTACTGCCTCCATTGAGACCCAGGGTAAGTAGTAGCAGTGGGGCCCTACCTATTTATGGCTCTGTTTTAACTAGTAAAGGAGTAAGCTGACTGAGATGCTTTTTTTCTTGCTAGAACACAATGTACATACTATTTTATTGCTTCTGGTCAGCTAGCAGAGCTTGTCTGGGACAGTGTGCTGCCATGTCACATCTGTTAAACACCTGCATGATTCCTTCTGGCCATGTGTGCAACCTTCCTAAATCTGGATGTACAGCTTAGTCTTACTTGCCCTAATATGTTTGTATAAGCAACACCATGATTTTTTCCCCTAAACCTCACTCTCTTCTAAAGAGGCAAATTTGTTCTGTGAAGTATTCTAACTACAGTTCCCATGTAGGTCTTGTGTTAACTATTCCTAGTTAACATAGACTTATTGAGATGAGGCGTGGTCTTTCACAAAGTACCTAGTGTGAATTGACTTGGATGTTTATTATCCTAAAAAAAGTAGTGAAGAAAGAATATAGAAATTGACAAGCTACTTACATTTTCCTTTGCGTCAAGCTCATGTCAGGCTTTGTTAGGATCACAGTGGTATGTGTAATCAATCTAATGTCTTTGCAGTTTTGTAGGTTCCTTACAGTAGCATTTCCCAACTGGTGTGCCATCAGGCCTGAGCAGGTGTGCCACGAAATTTTGGGGAGCCCTGTCTGTCTGTCTGTCTGTCGCAGGCCTCAGGCATGGCTCCAGCCAGTGATTCAGGTGCTGTGCCACCCTCTCCCTGATGCTCCGTGTCTGGTTGCGTGCGTGCCCCCTCCTCCCCCCCATCCCTCCCCATCTGCGTCCTGTGTGCCACAGTGGTTTTTTTTATCCATGTAAGTGTGCCATGGGACGGAAAAGGTTGGGAAACGCTGCCTTACAGAATTCAGCTTTTACTTGAAACTTCTCCTAAAGGATGAATTCTCTAAACAGGGTAGATTCAGGACTTTCCTTTACAGATTTGGAGACGAGAGAACGGGGCTTGCTAGCTCACTTGATGTGTAATGTCATAGAGCCTTAAATTTCTAGGTCATTGGTTTGAAATCTAGCCCAGCAGTTACTGAAAAGCTATTATAATTAGCCATGTTACATGGCAAAAGAGTTTCTAGTGGACAAATGTAGAATTGTGATGTGACAGTAGGCACTCTGGGTAGCGGGGGGGTCAACAAGTGATAAGGCTCAGAAACTGAATTTACCCTCTTGCTGCTAGAGGTACTCCCTCCTTGCTGGGATTGGGTAAGAAATGCTTGTAAGGATGTATATTTGCTCTGTAGATAAATAAAGGTCTTTGTTTTCTAAGGTACTCAAATCTGGAAACCTTGACCAGCACTAAAAATTCCTTTAAAGACAGAGCTGGGGGGTGGGGGTAGTTGAGGGAAGTGGAATTAGGTAGGTAGACTGTACAGTTCTGTATGATTTGTACTTTATTGTAGGAGAGGCATGTAACCAGCTCTTACCTTACCCAGCCTCATAGCTTGCCACTGTTCAGTTTTGCTCACTCTTGGGTTTCTCAAAACTGGCCAGGTGCATTATAAATTTGACACCATTCAGATGATTTTGGCCTTGTACAAACATTGTTTCTCCTGGGAGAGTTGCTGCTCTCCCAGGAGAAACCATGAGTGTACAGATGTTCAGGCTGTTTCTCCCAGAGTAAAATGGTCTGCTCTAGGAGAAAAATAACCTTGGAACAACCGGATTTAAGTCATTCCCAGGAGAGTTTCTCCTGAGAGAGTGAATGTCTGTACTTGTCGTGAGTCCTTCCGCATCCTCGTCCCCTCTTTCTCCGCCCTCCTGGAGAGGATGTATTGCTTGGTGTACTTTGCTGTTTTTGCAGAGGATGCAACAGATCCCCTTCACAATTCCCACATTGTGCGGCAGGGTAACAGGCTGACCATGGGCTGTCTGGGTCAGCCAGTCAGGGCTGCCCTATGCACTGCTGCCATCTGTTGCCAGGCAGCCTTAGGGTAACCTGCAGAGCATGCTGAGATGTCTTCACAGGCGCCCCCTGGCTGCATAGTTTTAGCTCTGCAAGCTGTCCATTGTTCAGGACCTTAGCACTTGAATGTCTGTACATGCAGCTCTGGGTAAGTTTCTCTGCCAGAACAAACCTGTGAGACTTCTCCCAGACTATTTGAATGTGTGTATGCAGCCAGTTTAATAAAACAGATGTCTAGCAATGTAACACTGAGTCTTTCCCTTTTCAGTCAGGGTCCTTGCAGGGCTCAGCAGTCCATTGTGTCTTCTACACCAACCCTCGCTAGGAATCTTAGTTAGGATTCCTCAATAGTTGCAGTTCCCAGTCTGCACTGTGCAGTGCATGGTACTTCCTTTGAAGGAAGGCTCTTCCTCAAGGTTCTGTGACTTCGTCTTGAGGATTTCTTTTCCTTCCTGTTCCTGCAGGTAGCTCCAGTCAGGCTTTCCTTCTGGCTGATATGAAAAGTCCCTTTCTCAGTTGTCTTGGACTGAAGGTCTTCTGAATCATTTTTCTAACTGAGCATGCCTCTTCTTCTAGGAAGCGCTCCAGGCTGCTAGAGGCTACTAGAAGTTGATAACCTCCAGGCTTTTAGAAGTTGATAACTGGTCACCTGACTGAAGCCCAGCCCCTGGGAGGTGGATAACGAGGCACATATGGGGCTTAAATGTAAAGGGCCGGCATACACTGTGACAGAGCTCTTGGACTTTTCAGGTTAACTGAGATGGGATAAAAGACTGAGTTGTAATTTTAGCCTAGTGACAGCTCCTTACAAAAATCAAAGGATTCACTTAGCTTGATTTAAGATCTTATGAAGTCTGAATTGAAAATGTTGATGTTCTTATGTCCATCAATGTAATGAAGTTATTTTGCTGTTGTACCTTTATACAAATTAATTGATCTGTTTTGATATTATCCTAAATTTTAAGAAAGAATATTGGAATCATAACAGACATTTCTTTTACCTTATGAAACAGTTCTATGATGTTGTATTGCATTTGCTTTAGACTTGGACTCTTAATTTCTTGGCTTTATTTTTCAGGCTGCCAGCACACCACTTAACCCCCTGAGCTTTCAGTGTGGGTTTGTCAAACTCAGGATTGACCTTCTACAGGCCTTCTCTCAACTCATTTGCACCTGCAACAGTCTGAAAACTAGTCCACCACCAGCCATTGCTACAACAATAGCCATGACATCAGGAAATGACCTCCAGCGGTGTGGGCGCATTTCTAACCAGGTATGTGTTCATTATTTCCCTCTCTTGTGCAGTTTGTTTGAACTTTAGTCCCCCTGTTCAGATGAGGAATTTAGCTCTCTGACAGAAGAAATGAAAGGGAGAATGTTGTGCCTGTCACAGCATACTGGGTCTTGTGGGGTTTTATCCATAACCCAGATACCTGTACAAGACTTAGTCAGAGTTTCTTCTGTATACACCAGTACCTCAGGTGTTTCTTTACAACCCATTTAGTGTGCTCAGATGTTATAGTGGTATGCCTTTTTTGCAGTGTCTTGTAAGATTTGGATCGTTACAGACATGCAGAAGAGGGATGTCTACAGAGGAATTGGTGATTTGATTTAAATCTCAGAACACCGATAGCCTCCTTGGTACTGTATAATACCACTTAAAAAGGTATTGTCCTGAGGAGTTGACAATCCACAAGAGAAGCTGTAGATTGTAAAAGAGAGATGAAAGTCTTATTAGCTGGTGAATTATCATAGAGGTTTAATTGTACTATTTTTATAAGACATGTTAATTGGTGACAAAAATTACTAGGTTATGTTTATTATTTTGTTGTAGAAAAATTATTCAGTGAGTGTTTTATTTTGTAGTTCAGTGTGGGTACATACAGACATTTAGGGAGCTTAGGGGGAGGTTAAATGAAGTTTAAAAAAAGCCATCCCATCTACGGTAAGTTGGGAATGGGGGGGGCTAGCAGAAAGGTGCTTGGGGGATATGGGGAAAGTCAGGCTCCGGGGTGGGATTGCGGGGGGGCAGGCGGGGTCTGCAGGGTCGGGGGAGACTGGGGCTAGTGGCTGCCCAGCTGCATTCCTTTAAATTGGTTATTGGATTGGTATCGGCTGATATGGCTGATTAATAATCAGCTGTTGGTATCAGCCAAGAAAATCTTTATTGGTGCCTCCTCATAGGTATATTGCCAGACTATTGCAATATTGCCATGTTCATTCAGTGTTAAAAAAATATATATGTAGCTGTGGTATTTTAATTTTTCTTGATCATCTTCATTATTTCTTTACTGTAGATGAAACTCTCTATGGAAGAATTCCGAAACTTGGCTACACGGTATGGGGATTTGTATCAGTCCTCTTTTGATGCTGACTCAGCAACTTTAAGGAATGTAGAACTGTATCCTGTTTGAAGCTCAAAATTTACTCCCCCCCCACTCCCCCTGTTTCTTATAAGGGGGATACAAATCTTTAAAATTCTTGCTTGTGAAGTGTAAATCCTGGTGCACAGCTATTTTAATAATCCTGATTTTAATATTTCGAAACCTATTTGGAAAATAAATCTTTCATTAGTTGGTTTTCCTTCGCTTGATATAAGCTTGGTTATGAATAATGTGGAGAGCTAGAAGTCTTCTGATTCCTGCCCTTTAGATGCTGCACATATTTTTGAATTTAACCTCATAATTTTACTTAAGTCATCATTATTACTCATAGTGTTTCTTCATTTATCATTAAGGAGAAATGCTAATATGCTAAGTGCTATGTATTTCTTTGTCGATGTGGTATATTTATAAATCCTTAATATAATGCCAGACAACAACAGAGCTGCCTGTTGATTTCTCATGCAATTGAAGCCCTGATTTTGGATCCTGAATCTGCAAGGTAAATCTCATGGTACCCCTTCTATTCTCTCTTAGCAGTTTTTGTTTGTTTTTTTCTCTCCCCATTTTAATGTTCTGGTCTGTCTAAATTTACTTTTGATTCTTTATAGGGGAGACTTATACCCATGACATCTGTTGCTAAGGTTGATTGGAAAATGCCATGGCAGCCTTCATTCAAATTGTCTTTAATTTGAACCAAGTCCAATAATATTAATTATATTTTTATGGAACGGATACTTCAGTTGAACTGTTTTAGGTGTAGATGACTTGCCTCAACATTGAAGTAGCAAGTTCCCAAATTCTTTCTCTGCCACTTAACTCCAAAATTTTTTTATACCATTATTTTCTGATTTTGATATTTTTGGTTCTCTTCCCTCATGTCTCTAAAGTAACCTGCATGCATATTTTCTGGCTTAAATTACTGTACTTACTCAAATCCAAGATGACCCCCAATTTAAGATAACCTCTTAATATTTAGATTCTATACATGGAAAACTTATTAATTTGTTATAATTTTCCATGTGTAGAACCTAATTATTGGGAGGTCATCTTAAATTCATTCCCACCACCGCTGTAGTGGGGAAAGTAGCAGTAGGGGGCCGGGCAGTAGTGGGAGCATGCAGTAAGGCAGATGGTGAGGGAGGCTTTATCTACTTTATTGAAGATATAGATAAGAATCCTTTTGGGAAAGGCATGGGATAGGATTCCTTTAATAACATGGGTAGAGTGCATTGGGCACCATTGAAATAGTTTCCTCTCTTAGTTTCCAGGAATACACTTCAAGTGGAGCTGCACATGTTGAAAGTGAATATGAAAGAAGAATGATGTCTGTATTTAATCATGTATTGGAAGAAGTGGAATCGCTGAACAGGAAATATGCTCCCGTGTCTTACTTGGCAAGTAGCAGCTACAATATAAATAGAAATTTCTTTTTAAAAAAAATGCCTCTAATATTTCCTTGTTATTGTGGAGGAGAGGCCAAAGAACATATTAATAGGACAGTCCTTCATTAGCATAACTTACAGTTAGCATAATGGTCTTTAATGAACAAGCAGTAGACCTACTGGTAATGTTGCACTTGAAAGTGATTAAAGTAAAATAAGCCTAAAGTATGAAGCAAAGCTAAAAGTATCTCACATAGAAAAATAGGGCTGGAAAGGACCTTAGAAGGTCATTGACTCCAGCCCCCAGTTAAGGGCACATTCATTCCTGTCTAGACTCGCCCAGATAAAGATTTGTCTAACCTGCATTTAAACTTGCATTAATGGAAATTCCACAGTCTCTTCAGGTAATCTGTTCCAATACTGATTAATGTTATTTTGCAGTTGTTGCAAAGTACCCGTAACTAATGGTTTAAAACTAACAGGAAGACAAGAAATCCAGAGAATAATCTGCCATTCTTCATCATCTGAGGCTGTTGAGAGGGGAGGGTGAAGAGAAGCATCAGAGGAAAAATTTAAAGGAAGAATGTTAGCATTATCTTTGCTCTTCCTGGTTTTCATCAGGTCTGGTCAGATCCTTTGTTTTTGGTTCAGTAGTGGATCTTAAGCAGCACTTCTTTTTGAGATATCTGAAATGCTGTAGAGTCTATATGTTGCAGACTTGGCTGTGCTATGTTTTTCTGGTTGATAACATTTCAGTACAACATTTTGGAAGAAGGTAGGGCAGGGTGGTACTAGTGACTGACTAGTTCAGAGGTATGATCTTTTGTAGGTGACAGCCTACTTCATTAGGCTGGCCAGTCCATTCATAGCATTTGATAAAGTAGGTTGTTACCTACGAAAGCTCATATTTCTCTGAACTAGTTAGTCTCTAATGTGCCACATTGCCCTGCCTCCTGCCTGACTTCAGACTAACATAGGTAACCACCTCTCAGTACAGCATTTGGTACGTATAGGGTTTCTCTTATCAACATAGGTCATCTGAGAACACACTGCGAATTGTACTAAATACAAAAGCCAGACTGATGACATCCTGCTGTTTCCTTCAGTGCCATATTATACTAGAACTAGTTTCTCTTACCATTAGTGGCCATTATTAAGCAGAACTGCAAATTGTCATCCATACTGTCATGGCATCTCCTGTTCTTTAGCTCCTAAAAATGAAGAAATTATCTACTAATTCTAAATTACATATTGCATATTACTATGTTTATTTGCCACCCTTCCCAATGACTGAAACTGGTTTGAGATAAACCTGGTCAGCTTACAGTAAATGTAACTCCCTCTTAAGTGGCATTTCTCTTGACTTAAATGTGAGAGAGATGAGTCTGGTGTGCATATATATTTTAAGAAAACTAAAACTAGGTTTCAGATATAGCCCTGATGCAGCCAGTTCCAGTGTAGGTTTTCATGATACTGTTGTATTGACTTAATATGTATTCATAGACATAGATTTCATAGACATCAGGGCTGGAAGGGACCTCGGAAGATCATCGAGTCCAGCCCCCCGCCCAAAGGGCAGGAAGTCAGCTGGGGTCATAGGATCCCAGCAAGATAAGCATCCAGTTTCATCTTGAAGGTGTTCAATGAAGGCGCTTGAACCACCTCCGGTGGCAGGCTGTTCCAGACCTTGGGGGCTCGGACAGTAAAGAAGTTCTTCCTTATGTCCAGCCTGAAACGATCTTGAAGTAGTTTGTGACCATTCGACCTCGTCATCCCTTGGGGCGCTCTGGTGAACAAACGTTCCCCCAGATGCTGGTGGTCACCCCTGATAAACTTGTAGGTGGCCATCAGATCACCCCTGAGCCTGCGCTTTTTCAGGCTAAAGAGCCCCAGGGCTCTCAGCCTGTCATCGTAGGGTCTGCTTCCCTGACCTCTGATCATGCGCGTGGCTCTTCTCTGAACTCTCTCAAGCTTCTCCACATCCTTTTTGAATTGTGGAGCCCAAAACTGGACACAGTACTCCAGCTGCGGCCTCACTAAGGCCGAGTACAGGGGGAGAATGACGTCCCGGGATTTGCTTGAGAAGCATCTATGGATGCAAGCCAGACTCCCTGCTCCTCCATTGCAGAAATCTATTTTAATCCGTTTTTAAAAACACACTTATTCTCTAAAGCAATTGGCTCCAAAATGTGGTACCTCTACTTTTGCTATTTACACACTCTCCTTTTTCATCCCTAAAGCTATTTCTTTCGGATTTGGGGGTTCCCAGTTCCTGTCATCTTGCTTTAGTTCAATCTATTCTAGATGGAGCTTTACCTGACGATTGCCTAAAAACGAGGCGCTGAACGCCGCTGCTTAGCGGCGTTCCTGTCAGAGAGTGCATTTTGCACGGGTTCTGTGATTTGGATTGACATACCACTTGTTTCTGTATAAATATGAACTCGCCATTTTCTCAACCTCCTGAAACCCTCAATATTTTGGATCTTGGAAATGGCCCGTCTCCTTATATGGTACTGGAGCAGCCGCTAAAGTTAGAGAGAGAGTTTTGCTAAAAGCTCTTTCCATTCTGGTGTTAGAAAGGAAAAAGGAGAATTGGCAATTGGGAAATTCAAGTGCAACTGCTTTCTCCGCTTGGTTCAGTAGAGGCAGAGTTGCTTGCTGGCATTCAGAACTCACTCTCTATTCTCCAAATAGTTTTGAAAAATAACAGGGTTCAGAAGGATGCCAAGGTGGGCTAAGTGGAGAAACGTGAATGTAGTGGGTAGGGTGCGTGAGAAAGTCTGTTACTAGAAATGGATTTACCCTGATCTTGCAAGCTGCTCTGCAAGGGGGGATTCCTGCCCTGCAGGAAATCAATGGGGTCTGTGGGATGGAAGGGACAACCCAGCTTTTGGCATATTTTCCATACTCTATGGACCCCTGGATTTGCAGTTTAGTACATCTACACAAACAGCCATCTATCTTATTCTCATCCTTCTAGAACCACATGAAGGCTGTCACTCCAGCTCATATGTTATTCAGAGTTAATTCAGTGTCTGCAATTTTAGTCACTATATATGGATAACTATAGGAAGCTGAGTGGGGCTCACTCCGCTACATACTGTACAAATGTTGTCAGACACAGTCTATTATGTCCAAGTATTGTGTCCACATTTTGCAATAGTTTTAAAAAAAGCAGGCAGTAGTTTCCTATTCTTTTGGGCTCACAGCATGTTGTCTGCTGCAAATCTCTATTCACGTTCTTACAGGATAACACAGTGGTGTCACATTCATCATTAAATGAATTAACCGTTAACCCTATATTTACACTCCTGCTATAAACAGAAGCTTAATTTGCTGCACTGACAGTCGGTTGCGTGCCATTTGTATCTTTTCTGTGCTATTTGGTATTTATATAGCACTCAAAAGTCACTAAATGCTTTACATATTAAAAAATACAAGTCCCCATCTGGAAGGGTTTTCCACCTTATAGCTCAATTCTGTATATTCGTGTACTTCTCATAGGCGTTCTGGAAACAGAGGTCTTGCTGAATTACGTTGCTGACCGACTTGCCAGCTTTTCGGCGGATGGTGAAGGTGATCAGCTCGTGGTCGCTGTCACCCAGCTTCCCATTGATCACTAGGTCGCCGACTAGGTCATCCCCAGTAGCCAGTACCAGGTCGAGCAGCGCTTTGCCTCTCGTTGGCCCATAGACTTCTTGAGTCAGGTAGAGGTCATCCACGCACGACAGGAAGCTCTGCGACCGCTCAGATTTTGCTGAGCGATCCTCCCACGAGATGTCTGGGTAATTGAAGTCACCCATGACAACCATGGTCCTGGAGCAAGCTGCCTCAGCCAGTTCCTGGGCAAACTCCTGGTCAAGCTTAGGACTTTGGGTGGGAGGTCTGTAATAGAAAGAAATTCTTTCTTGGCTACTTTATGCTCTTTCAGTTCAGGAAATTTTATCTGTTTTCTACCCTTGCACAAGAGAGAAATTTGATTTGATGATCTCTTTCCATCTTAGCTATTATCCTAGAACCTTGTAAGTCCATTTATTGGTCTTTAAGTGGACATGACCACAAGCATAAGAGTGAAGTACATGCTTTACTGTTGCTGTTGTAAAAAGCATTTCTTCTCATTTGATGTTCCTTTCTTATTCCAGCATACAGCTTGCTTGTGCAGTGCAGTCATTGCTTTGCTGAAAGTTCCCCTTTCATTTCAAAGATATTTTTTCCAGAAACTACAGTCGACAAGCATTAAGGTAAGAGAAATTCAGATTGGATTTAATTACTATTTATGCTTAAGAGTCTTACATGAGACTAAAAAATTAAAAACCATGAGAGCGCTCTAGAGTTCATCAATCTTTAGAAGGTGTCCACGCGTGTGGTAGTACTCAAGTCTTAAATTTTTGCTTCTCAGCTGAAATGTAATCTGTCTCAACCTGGAAGTAGACTTCAAGAGGTTTTTAAAGCACATTTATAAAAAATAAATTCCTTTGGGCTATTTAAGTAACACAAATAACATTCTAGGAATTGCTGGTTCCTGATCTTTTTCCATTTATAATATAATTGGGTTCAGCTTAAAGCAGTGACACTTGGTTCCCATATACCTACTGTAGTAGCGATAGCTCAGGTCTCTCTCTAAGGCACTATCTAGTGCTTTGTGGACATGCCCTCAAGTTACTGCTTGAAAATTCTACCTATAAGCTTTCAACTGACTTTGGGATAGCAGACTACATTTCTTAAGAAATTCAGATGAAACACAAGCGGACTTGTTCGTTGAGATGACATCATCTAATTTACCACCTTGCTCACCATTGTGAATTCTTGTAGGAAGGGGCATTTGAAATGAATGAGCACTTGACACTATCACACAACTAACTTGTGTAACTCTTGATCACTTCCAGCTGTTCTCTCAAAAAAGCTGGGTTTTGCAATACAGGGAGATATTGCAAAGTGCATACACATCAATTACGAACTGACTACAGACACTCCCTCCTTAGGAAAACAGTTTGTGCAAATAATACTTAATTTTATTTTAGATCTTTGGAATAACAACAATTGTTTCTTCAAGACTAAGTCATTAATCTAGAAGTTAGCAAATAAGCAGAGTTAAACTTTTACAGTTATAGAACCTTGCAGATAAAAAAAAAAATCTTAAACTCAGTGGAAGATTTCCCTTTGTTCTGGAACAGTAGAGTTTAAGAACACTCAGTTCTGGAGAAAATGCCTTTGATCACTCTAACAGCCTTCTTTGTCCACTTGGAAGTGACTTCTACAGTCTCAGGAAGAAATTGTGCCCTTCCTCAAGTCAAAGGGAGCAAACAGCTGTGCATAATTGGGAGCCTTTAGGGAAGGAAATAGAGAGGACCTTTAGAACTCCCTCCCTATGGGGAAGGGAGAACCTCCAGATCTTGACTTTTCAATTTGAAATAATCATCTTGCTTGGTTATTTAATAAGCCCAGACTTCAAAAATGTGGTCTTTAGTTATAGAAATTAATAGAAGGCTGTTTTTTTTTTTAGTGTTCCATTCAAAATGTCTAATTGAAACAACCACTGCAGGGACCATGTCTGTTCCCAATGCTGTTTATTAATTTTCTTATACTCCGAGTCCCTGCTCTTCCTTTCTCTTTCCATTCCATCTGCTGCTTCTTCCTTTCAGTTTGGGGAGCTGTTCTCTTCTACCTAACAATTGTGCATTTCTTTTGAAAAAGCACTTGAGTATTTACTAGAGTGCTGAAAATAGACTTTGTTTCCTTATGTTTCAGCTTGCTTTGTCCCCATCTCCACGGAACCCAGCAGAGCCCATTGCAGTACAAAACAATCAACAGCTGGCGTTGAAGGTGGAGGGAGTGGTTCAGCATGGCACCAAGCCAGGCCTCTTCCGCAAAATTCAGTCTGTCTGTTTAAATGTATCTTCAACACTGCAGAGCAAATCTGGACAAGATTACAAGGTATGGGTACAGTCAGTCATATGTCCTAAATTTTACTGATGCAGTGCTGTCAAGGGTGGAATGTGAACTTATATTCATTACCAAGTCTCCTTTTAATTGCACAATTATTGTTTTGTTCTCATAAATGCATGTGTATAATTGTTCTATAATAGTCTTCACATTCTTGAAGGCAAGTCTTGCACTGGTTAGAGCTACACTTAGTACAGTTCTTGCTCGCATTCTTTTTCCCATGCTTGTGCATTAGGTCCTCCATCCGTACCTGCAGGATACTGGTACCTCCAATATGTATGGCATTATTGAGTAGAAATGTATTATTTCAGATGTTGTGGTGACTTTTTTGCAGTAAAGGTATTCACAAATGGGAATGGCCTTGTGATTGTGACTTCCTTCAGAGAAGAGCAAAAGTAACCAGTTCTCTATTATCTAGCTATTAAAAAAAATACTTAACTGTCTTATTTTATGCAAGAGGCAAGGATGTCCTAGGGTGGTATCTTTTTATTGGACCAACTCTGCAGTTGGGATAGAGTTAGACAACCTTTTGAATTTAAGGCATTCTTCCTGCCTTATTTCAGGCATTTGGATTTCCCTCTGTCTATAGTAAATTGACTTCCCTAACTAAATAACAGCTAAATAGGAATAGGTTAAAATGAACAATTCTGTCAAAGCTTGTCAGGATCTGAATGAACACATCCTTCAACAGATAGTATGGAATGATATTCTTAACCTTCATTTGTTTCCAGATCCCCATTGACAACATGACTAATGAGATGGAGCAGAGGGTGGAACCTCACAACGATTACTTCAGTACTCAGTTTCTATTGAACTTTGCAATCCTTGGTACCCATAATATCACAGTTGAGTCCTCTGTAATAGATTCAAATGGTATTGTTTGGAAGACTGGGCCAAAAACTACCATTTTTGTTAAATCCCTTGAAGATCCATACTCACAGCAGGTTCGCCTTCAGCAACAGCAAGGACAGCCAGCATCGCAGCAGCAGCAACAGCAGCAGCAACAGCAGCAAAGAACAGCATACTCACGGTTTTAATCCTCAGAAGTGCCATTTGCTTTTAAGGGGCCAGCTTAGTAATATCTCACTTTTCTTGGACATGGCAGATGTCACTTTTTTTCCTTTTGATGTTCCTGTCAGTTTTGTACTCTGGGCATTTTTACATGTGATCCTGACATGGTGCTGGGAACTTTTAATTAGTGAGCCACGCTAGTTAAAAGTGCCCACGCATCATGTGTATCAGTGGCAAAATTGGGTAATACACGCTTGCACTGAGAGTGTTTTATTTCGTCATTTTATCATTGCGGAGATGCGCTGTACCACTGATGCATGAGGCAGAGTGCAGCAATTTATGTGCTTCAGGAGACTTGAGTAATCGGGTCTGCTCAGTACAGTGTGTTGGAGCAGGATCCCTGCATGTGTGTAAGTGCCCAATGTTCTTAGTTGCCATTGTTATTGCATTCCCATAGCTAATCATCAAGGGGCAAATTCAGGCTCCAGAATAAATAGGTGTGGCTCAGTTTAAATGGAGAATTGCTCTTTTTTTTGTATAGTGGGTCTTCAGTTTGGGAACCTAGCTATATATCCTTTTCCAACACCAGTTGTACAACAGTTTTGGAAATTAGCCAGCTGGGAGGCTGTCAAAGTTATCTGGCTAGCATGTTTCATTGTCATCTTAGGATATGGACTCTGCTATGTACCTGCATGCTGCTTCCAGATGGATTCTGATGTTTGGAATCTCTCTTGAGCCACTAATGATACTCAGATTTTTCATACTATTAATGCTAAGCAAAGAGGGCATCTCTCAATGTGTAGCAGTTGGCAGGAATGTCCAGGCATCCTTTCAGATGATATGCTATTAGTTTTGTGGTTTAAGCGGAAATATATTGGCATACCAGCCAACAGCATTTTGTCTGATGTTCATGTAGCACTGTGTGTGCGCTTGTTCTCTCAGTGCTATATATAAATGTCCTAAAGGGATATCAGCTGGAGAACAGAGATTTTTTTTAAAAGGACAGCACAGATTTAGCAGTGGAAGCAATTTGGTTTGTTCCTTAAGCAGGAGAACAGAATTTTTTTTATATTTCATCTTTGTCTCCATTTCAGAAACTTATTTTATTTGTTTACACAGGAGGAAAGAAGATGAATTTACAAGTTACCTGTTTTATCTTGAACTATTTGCTTTAAAAAATGGACTTATTAAATGGCAGAGCTCTGGTGCTTGGCAAGTGTGATCTTTGGACTATGTTGGTCAGTTCAGTAGGTATTGTGGAAGAATTTCACTAATAAATAGCTCTCCTGTTAGTTGGTTTGTACTCAGTTTAAAAATATATCTGCTCACAAATACACCTTTATTCCTTACCTGAAACCTAGAAAAAGGCCCAGAGGGCTAAGCCCAACCAGTGTTTTTGTCCTTAGGAAGTGCATCACATTATATATATATGAAGCCTAGCCTTTATGAGTAATACCTGCTCAGTACTCCAAATGAAACCTGGAACTATGTCAAGGATCCTGCCAGTGTTCTGGAGGAGGTTTTTTCCAGGCTCCAGTTTTGGCAAATAATTTAATTGCTGTGCAGAGGAGGAGGTATGTTTCTTGTGACCTGCTTAGCGGTGAATTCCTATTATACTCATCACTGGCATATTTGGGTGTCTTTAGGTCCTGTATGTTATCCTCACTAGTTTAAAATACTGATGTGCAGTTGTTCATCAAAGTTGTCCTCTCCAAGACAGACTTGAATGCAGTCTTTGTCTGTGTAGATGGGCTTTACTGCTGTAGTTGCCCAGCCATTTTTTTTTAATGGATAGAATATAATAAAAACTTTTAAAACCTAAGTCTGCTTGCCATACAGGAATGAAGAACAGGGGCCTGTTACCCATTTTTCTTAGACAATTACAGAGCTTTCTTGGCTTTTGATTTTTTTGGAAAAGAAAACCTGAATTAAGCATGGTTGGTTGTGATCTCGCAAGGGTTTTGCAATTTGTCTTTTAATTTCAAAGCATGAAAGAAATTAAGTGCATCAGAAGAAGCAACTGAATCTTAAAAAGGTTTTTTCAAGGAAATGGGAAAATTTGAACAGGGTGTCTGACTCTTGTTTATGAATGCTGAAAGAAGTGGCTGATAAGTTTGGTGAAAAGGAAGTGCACTTTCCTGACATATGTGCTAAAACCACACCATGGTACTACACATCAGAGTGAAGTTACAAATATTAGCCAGTCAGACTGCCAAAAGCTTAATTCTGAAGAGCGCTGTTATATTGATGTCAATGGCACAGTCCATATGGTCTCATCACCCTAGAGTTCATGTACTTCATAGTTGTAAGGAACCCATTCTTGGGACATTCCTCTGAGAAAAAATATCTTGTCTTCCTTTTCCATCTAGGCAAATTGAGGCCTAGAGAGAGAGGACCTGCCTGTGCACCCACACAAAGTTTGTGGCAGTCAGGAATTTAACTGTTTTTAAGTCTCATTCCCAGTGCCTGCCTGCCTTCCTTCCCACAGTGGAAACAGTAAAGGAGGAGCACCAGAGAAAAAGGTTAAGCTATTAATTTCTTACTGTAAATAATGAATGTTTGTTTCTCTCATGAAATTACATAATATACTGACTGAAGTATGTGACAACAGCGTAACTGAACAGCCAAGAACTGAAATTGCCACAGGACTTGCAAGAAATTAGTTGTCTCTTTTTTTTTTTTTTTTTTTTTGGATGGGGGGGCTAGAGGGGGTTTTTGTTTTTTTTTTGTGGTGTTTTTTACATTGTACAATTACATCTGTGAATGTACTAGGAAAATTTACCCACTAATAGCTATGGTCTAAAACTGAATGATCTGCAAGGCAGTAAGATTGACCCAATTACGTGCAGAATAAGACTGTATTTTAAAACATGTATTTCTTTTTCTCGGAGACAAGCTTGTTGATCTGATCTGACAATGCCTTCAAATGCAAGGCACATTTGAACCCTGGTTTGGGTCCAGGCAGATCAGGCCTGAATGCAATATCTGGGATCAGAGGCCAATTTCTTAGTAAATGCCCTAGAGTAATAGTATTTTTTTGTACTGTATTTGGGGGGGGGCGGGGGGCGCTTCATGATTACAGTGATACATGGGACGTAAATGATTGAGGAGAGAGAAAACAGGAATTTCACCAAGTAATAAAGCAGGAGCTGCAAGTGAGGAGAACAGTATCATCAGATAAAATTACATGGAAACAGGATGTCAATTTTTGTTTCCACCCTCAGCTGAAATGTTGGTTTGTTGATGCAGCAAGAACACCAGCTCATTTGCCATTGAATAAGTCATTAGGTTTTACTTGGTTAGGATTTTAGTCCTCTCGGATTGCTGAGTTTAAGGATTTTCAGTGTCTAGTTATTTCTTAAATATTTTTTTCTTAATCTTGTAACTGGAGGGAGAGCAGCTGGCTCCCTGCCAGCATGCTCATTGGCTAGCTGTCAGTCTTGCACACAACTTTGTCCATGTTGCCACCATGTGGCAATGAGGACAGGGCTGTTGTGGAGGTAGCGGGGGGATGGAGGGTATGGATGACTAGCTCATTCATAACACACAGCTGGATGGTGAGGTGGCGGTGGTGGTGTTACCATCTTTTATTTAAAACTAATGTGTAAAACAGGTTTAGTAACCTTTAAGAAGTGTTGGGCTGAAATAAGGGTCCGAAGGTAGGACATTGCTTATGATGTGGCTGCTGTTGTCTTCACTCTACGCCTCTGCGGCTGCCGCATCACTTCCTGCTCTGTATCAAGGGCTGCTCTTTTCGTCTCAGTCCTCTACTTCAGCTTCTGCCACTCCATTCCCATCACTAAATCCTGTTGCCACGGACTGCCACAAATGGCAAATTTGGTGACAAGACATGTGGTAAGTGGATATGAAAGAGCAGGGAGGGCAGGAGTGGCAGGAGGTGGCGCTGCAAAATGTACAGAGCAGTGTGGTGAAGGGGGATGTGCCAGGGTAAACTCCAGTGCAACAGACAGGGGACCTGGGGGTTCCCCCTCTGTGTTTGCACTGGTGTCTCTGAGACCACTCCTGCTTATGATGCTGTGTGGTTCTTCCTGCCATTGAATCACAGATATTGCAGCTTTATGGGCTGAACGTAGTCATTTGCTGGGCTGGATCCAGCCTGCAGGCTCGTAGATTGCTGACCCCTGGTCTAGAACATTTGCCTAGGAAATGGAAGAGCTAGGTTTAATGTTTGTACCTGAAGAGGTTCAAACACGCATTGCCCACCTCCAAGGAGTGTATCTTAACCTTTGGACTATAGGCAAAGCTGGGATGGCAGCACTTTTCTCTCTTCATTTTGTGGCTGTGGAGCCAAAATGCAAAAATCTTGGGTCTAGAGGCGAAGCAAGAGGGGGCTTGTAGTCCAGTGATGAGGGTACTCTACAGGGACAGGAGTCCTGGTGTGTGATCCTTGCTCTCAGAACTGTGTATGCATTTTGGATTAGTAAGTGGCTATTCTCATGTTAAGGTACAGTCACCAAAGTCTGCATACACACACACATGCACATGCTGTTTTGTCTTGCACCATATGTGTGTGTGTGTGTGTGTACTGTATATAGTGAAAGACAAGACAGTTGTTGCTCCAAAAGAGAACTCAGAATAGGATTAAATGCTTTTGCCTGGAGAGCATATTTCCAGAGAGTGATATATCTGTGAGTTTATCATTGGGGCAAAACAAAGGTGGTAAATCCATTTTTCTTTCTCTGTAAAAAGGGAAGCATGACACAGTGATCAAAGCCATAAGGGTAGGGGTAAGTGGGGCTAGGTCTTGTCCTTTCAGTCTTGTTGAGCTTAAGGAAGACATTCAACCACTGTGTACCTCAGTTCTGACATTTGTAAACCTGGAAGAATTAAACTCTTCTCATGTTGGTTTTATACAGCAGAATTCATTGGCTACCATGTGAGTCTTTGCTGCTATAGAAGTGCAAGGTGTTGTGGCACATACAAAATAAAAAGGTGGGCTTTTTATTTCTTCAGCACCGAGCACAATGAGGTCCTGATTTGTGACTAACATCCAGCCACTAATTCAGTGCAAATAATAGCAAACTTGGCATTGCTTTCATTATCCTCAGCTGTGGAATTGGGAATAACACCCTTAAAAATTAAAACAGTGTTTTATTTAAAGAAATGTCACTAACGTATCTCTTAATTTGGTTTAAACCTTTTAATATAATTTTTGGAGGCCTTTATGTCATTGCCCTGAGCCAGACCCTCCGAGTGTTTTTGTGAAAATAACATGGTAAATGGTGGTTGTATCCGTTAATACTAGTGACTACATGTGTGTAGTTAGTGATAGTTTAAACAGTGACAAGTGACTTGGAGAGAGTGGGTACATTGTTTTGGAAGTGTTTTAATGGCAGCTAACTCCTTAGAGGATACAAGTGAGTATCTGCTTATGAAAGGATTGAGAGGGTGAGAACTCTAGTGCTCTGCTTTATCGCCTAGGGGGCTTCTCCCCTGGGTGCTGTTCCCTTCTTACCCTTCCTTTATCGAGAGCTTCTACCCATTCATGCTCAATATCACAAGTTTTATCCCTTAATCAGCCAGTTGTCAACTATAGCATAATACCTCTTTCCTAGTTCATTGAAGCTCTTGCCTATCCCAATTCCTGCTTCTTCCTTCCCTGCCTCCTCCCACACTGGGATAAGCACAGGCCTCTTTGAATAGCTTCTGCTGATATCAAAATTGGTTGGGATTGTGAAAGCAGTTTCGAGTAGTTTGCTACTACTGCTTCCAGTGGCTGGGGGTGCTTTTAGATGTTGATGCAATTATTTGACTCTAGGAGTTGGGATATAATGTGTAAAATAGATGTCATGAGAACTGTAATAGCATAGTGAGAAAGTCAGAAATTCTGTGTGAATGCTGTTAGTGTTCTTGGTATGACCTTCAAGCTGTTTGAGATTAGATGAAACCAGGTAGTCAGTCATTTAGCTGTTTCGTTGTTTTGGTGGGGAAAAGGAAAACGAAAGTTACCATTAATAAAACTCTGGGAAATTGCTATCATCAGTTCACTCCAGCAAAGAGTCAAGAGATCCCTTAGTTAAGAGTCACTCCTTAGTCACTTCAAGTCCAGGTAAGAGTCGCTCCTTTCCCACAACAAGCCTGGAGAGAAAGATGTTGCACTGTTACTAAGCCTAGTTTATATAATGGGGGCAGTCCCATCCAGAGAAATGGAGACTTGGCAGTGAATCCATAGCCCTGCCTTGTAAGATGGAACTTAACAGAACTGGGAGCACTTTGTTTGCTCTGTTGCATGGCTAGGAATATTGTCCCTCTCAGAATGATTTGGCAGATGAGATAAGAGGGAACAAAGTGCAACTTGGGTTTGTTTGGCCCTTAATGAGTTTTCTAAAACAACGCAGACATGGTTAGCCATCATAGTTAAAGCCAAGCTGCCAACTGGTTCAGTTCCACCCCCTACTTGTCATATCCGTTGTTGGTGCACAAGGCCTTAAAGGTGAAAAGGAGGAGCTAGCGGAACAGGAGAGCAGTGCTTACACTTACAGATATGCTAGTCAAAGCATTATAACCTGCTGGCAAGTGGTTTAGTACTCTAATAGCTCAGACTGATGCAGAGAAATTTGACAGGAATCAAATTTCCAGGTAGAAGCTTAAGTTTCCTATGTGGGGGATAATTGGAACACATAACTTGCCCTTCGTGTCATCACCATGAGAATAAACTCCTTGATAGATTTCCAAGCTAGACGGTCATTATAGCACTCTTCAAAACCATTGTACATAATTTATGCTTGGAGGGGACCAGGTCTATGACTCATTTGTGCCACAATGAAATATTGAGGTTTTCAAGGCACTTCAGTTACAGAGGTGGCCTGGCACAAGGATAGGGTCTACTGAGTTATGATATTGTTACCCAGTCCAGTTCAGTGAGAAGGAAATAGAGTCCAGTCTGCTTGAGAAAAAAGTGAAATTGTTTAAATAGATAGGTAAAAAAACTACAATAGTGGTCACCTTTTGTTAAGATGTATAGGACATTACTAAAACCTTTAAAATTCTACTGTAGTTTTTACCCAGCAAGCTGAGCCTTAAAATCAAAATAACTGTCATGTAGCAGGAAAGCACAACTGTGATAGAGGGATGATGCTTTGTGAGGAGAAGTCTGCAATCCATATTGCCCTTAAAAAAGTTCCTTATTATCGAAGAAGAGGTAAAAATATTCTCACTTCAAAATCTGCATTTGAAATCCTGTTTTTAAAACGTTTTGAGGGGACTATTTCTGTGAAATAAGGACCATATTGTCCTCTTTAATTCTGAGTACCAACAGTCAGAAGTCTCCATCACCAGTGTTCTTGACTGGCCCCAAAGAACACTGTGAATCATGTTCAAAATTACTCTTTTGCTTCTAGCTTTGTTGGCCTATCGTTGCATTGGCAGAATTTGCATAGGACTGACTGTGCGCAGAACTGAATGTGGTAATTTAAACCACAAGACAGATTGAGATGCTCATTGCAAATCTGACCTCCGGTCTCCCAGCTCCTGTTTCCTACATAATTAGGTCTCTGGCAGGTTGAGATCGGTTTGCGTATCTAATTCAAGATCTTTGTGTATAAAATTTCAAGTTGACTCTCTTTTCAGTCAGTGGCTTATATTGTTCACCCTTACAATGCGTGATGACAGCATACAAACGTAACTCCATTAATTTGCAGGTACTCTGTAATGGCCTTTTTATAGTAGCCCTGCAAGATTTTTACAAACATTCAGTTAAATGTTTGTAAAATTGCCAGAGGCTACAAAGGATCACACAACAAGTTTAGCCAGTCATATCTTTTGAGAATCAGATCAGTTGCAATTAGATTTACCAGAAGAACACTTTCAGCTGTTTGCATGGAGAATTAGGTATCCTTTTTTTCAATAAGATATAAAATGTAGAGGTTTCCCCATGGGGTTTTTTTTTTAAGAAAGAAGATTGGATCATATTCAGCTTAATGTAGGTAAACAGCACTTAAACTTTTCTGAGGCCTGACCTAGACCTGCTTTGATTCACTCTTGGGGTGCAGCATTGCCCAAGAGATTCGTCAGGAGCCCATTATTTTCTTAGCTTGCCCTGGACTCCATCCTGCACTGGGTAAGAAGGGTTCGGTCTCCAAGCAGTTGCTTACACTGGTCATGGTCTCATACCCAATAGGAAGATAGTTTCTGGTCCTAGGACACGGCCCAGAATTTGGAGCTCAGAGCTCTCACCTGAAATATGTACATCCGAAAAATACATGGTATTGCATGACATTTATGGCTAAAAGAAGGCATACTGAATCAGCTTGCTTTGTCTGAACAATTTCCAGCATGTCTTCATTGTGTATATCCTGTCCAAAAGTTTTGTGCTAATTGATGCAACAGTCCTCCGTGACAATAATAAGCTGCTTGTAATATGTAAGTATCCTGTTCAGTGCTGGTCACTGTGCTTCAAGAAGGATGTAGACAGGCTGGACGTGGTTCACAGAACAGCAATAAAAATTAGGGTTTAAAAAAGTTGACTGTGATCTTGAAGGAACTGAGTTTTAGTCTAGGCAAGAGAAGACACAAGATATGATAAATCCTCCAGTATGTTGATTATTTGTTAGAGGTGATTGATTGTTCTCCATGGCTACAGGGGGAAGGATGAGAAGAAATTAACTTAGTTTGCAAGACAAGTGTAGGTCAGATATTAAGGAAAACTTTCTTAATGGTGGGATGATGATACACCTGGAGTCAGTGCTACCTCAGGAGCTGGTACAATCTCTTTATTGGAGGATTTTTAAAAATAGGGTATACAGGTGTCTGTCACATGGTCTAAAGCAGGGTGCCAAGCATATGGTCTGCAGGTCAGGTCTGGCCTGTGGTCAGGTCCAGCTGACATGGCTGCCAGTACCTCACCATGGCAGCATTAATCCTCATGGTTTCAGCATGGCTCTGGAACCTGTGGAGTTAACATTGCTCACATCCCCACACTGGTGAAATCAAGGGTATTTAGCTGCCCCTCGTGACAAATCAATGGCAGTGGAAGGAGGTGGTGGAATTAGTGGCAATGGCATTAACTCCTTGGGTTCCAGAGTCATGCTGAAACAGTGGCTTTGGCAGCCTTGGAGATTAATGTCACTGTTTACCGGTTGTATGGCCTGTGGGAAGCCCTGCAGTGTGGATTCAGATCTGTCCTGTGGGACCCAAGCTTGATCCCTGAGCTAAGGTACTTGATCCTGTCTCAGTGAAGAGGGTTGGACCTGATGATTTCTGGAGAGTCCTACTTTTCTGTTATTTTAGCACTTGCCCTATTGTATACATCTTGTACATAGGCATGAGAATCACTGATGACAGTTTCCTTCTTTTCAGCAAACTGCATGCAGTGAGTCCAGACCTAAAGCAGTTTGAACCTCCTTAAGTCCACTTGATCTTCTGCTGCAGATGGAGCATTGAGAGCAGTTGATTACAACTAGATTTTTGCTAAGCTTCTGAAAACAGTCACTAAGAACATGTGCCTTAAAGGACGAGGTGGACTTAAGGGGCAACCTTCAAAGTTCTGTGTCTCTTGAAACTGGATGCTTATCTTGCTGGGATCCTATGACCCCAGCTGACTTCTTGCCCTTTGGGCAGGGGGCTGGACTCGATGATCTTCCGAGGTCCCTTCCAGCCCTGATGTCTATGAAATCTATGAAATCTTCCCTTGCAGCAGTAGGCATTCCAGCTTCTAACACAGAGCCCTATAAACTCAGAAAAGGTAGCCCTGCAAACTCAGAAAGAGGTGTAGGAGGAATGGAAATGCTTTTTGGAAGGATAGTAGTAATAGAGCATGCTGCAACTTTACCAGTTTAGATTAGTAGTGCCCAACCTTTGAGCCCTATGGGCCAGATGAGTGGTGAGGGGTCGGTCCATGGATCTGGTCAGTGGTCCCAATCTGGTGTGTGGGCCCAAGGTCCGATCCAGTGCATCGGGCTAGTCTGGTCCGTGACCCCAGCCCTGTGTGCCAGATTAGGCCTGGTCCTATGTGCCATGTTGCTCCCACAGTCCTGGCACAATGCATGGGACTGGGCCCCAGCCCCATGTGCAAAGTCTATATAGTCTCTCAGGGTTTGGAAATGTGGTGCCAGATGGCAGACCTCTGTGGATTGGATCTGGGCCATGGGCCATGGGCTGGAGGTTGAACACCGATCTACATGCATCTTTTAATCTCTTCACCTGATGCCTTTTTGTTGGGTTTTTTTGGGAGGGGAGGGGGGGAGTTGTTTGTTGTTTTGTGTGTGTGTGTTTTTTTTTTTGAAGCGTCATCTGTTCTGGTTATGGTAGGTTGGTAGATATGATTTGTATGTCAAGGTGCAGCTCCTCTGTAGTGAGATTTTTGTCAATGCCAACCCTTTTCTACTTTTTACTCCAAAGGAAAAGAGAACTATCCTTTGTTTTGGATCCTTTTTTTCTTTTAGTAATGTTAAAGTTTTTGTTGTTTTTAATCTATCTGGAAATTGATACTGGTTACCTAAATGCCCTCTTCATATGTAACTGAATTTTCCTAAGGGAACTCTAACAGTTGCCTATAAGAAATGGTTAACTCTGACAGCTGATGAATTTCTGATTCATTTTTTCTATAAGGTGCACCTCTACCTTTCCTTTTACATAAAACAAGCTTAGCAGAGAACTAGAGTAAAATTTTATTGCACCTTAAAAGCAGTGTGACAGACAGTACAGAGTGTAGCTAAGAATAGAATTTGATTCTTCAAACACATTACTATTTGCTGCCTTTTCATGCTATTTTTTAACAAAAAAGCTGGCTTTGCTCATCTTTTCATTGACTTCAGTAGGTTCTGGATCACATCATATGCCTGATTAAGTTCATGGACCCACAACCTTCAATTGGATCAGCATTGGTGGACCTTTGCACTTCACAAAGTGGTTTATGAAGTCACTGGAGTGCAGCACAAGGGCAAACATTCAACTCCTGAAAATGTGGATCTGTTTATCAGACTGAACTCTAGTTTTTTTTCTTACTGTGTATAACACCCCACGCCCTACACACATCACTATCTATTTAGAGTTTTTTAAATTATTGCATGCTGTGCCAAGAAGCAAGAGAGGGGATTAAGTTGTGGGAACACTGTTCATTTAACCTATTATTTTTAGTTGGCTGAGTATCAGGGGTACATTAACAGCAAAAACAAGTATTTATTTAGTGTTTTATATTTGCTCTTCAAACATTGACTGGTTTTTGATAAGAGCTTGCCAAACAAAGGTTAAATATTGACTTGAACTTGAAATCAGAGAACTGGTTTGAAGAAAATAATTTTGGGGGGTCTTTAAGAGGAGACTAGACACATACCTGACTGGGGTCATCTGACCCCAGCGCTCATTTCTGCCCAGGGCAGGGGATGGACTTGATCTGCTAAGATCCCTTCCAGTCCAAACATCTATGAATGTTTGGACGTACCCTAGGATCTTCAAGCCCAGAATCTTAAATCACATTTTAATGAAATCCCAAACCTAACTGTAAAAGGGCTAATTTTGTGGAAAAAGATAATGAGGGACCTCAGATTTTTTTTTTTTTCATTTGCCCAAGGTTGTAGAGTCACTAGCAAATAAGGTTACAGTGTAAGATGGGCTGATCAAAATAAGGCAAAGCCACTATAAACTGTGTAGCAACATACACAAATTTCTGATATTATTGTTCAGACTTGTTCTCTGTAGATAGAGGACCATATAGAGGACGCATGCTCTAATACTATCAATAGAACTTTATACCATTGAATTTCATTTTTAAATGACAAACTGTGAAAGAGTACAATAATCAATAAGTAGTAAATGTTAAGAGAGTTCCATGTGTCAGGGAAAGGCTGACATCACCACCTCTTTTGTTGTACTTTGTACGAACTGTTTTATAAAAGCCTTGCAAGTTGAGATTATATATAGCCAGCATGTCCTATAATTATCTGCAGAAATATGCCTCTGAAATAGGACTGACTTTTACAAACTAGCAATAATTTGGTTATGAGATTTTTATATTAAAATTTTACTAGCAAGAAGTGTCCAGTTAATGGTGCTGTTTTCTATAAAAATGAACAACTGCTTGATTATGATCTTGGGGACAGTAGTATCAACTTGGGAGAGAGGCTGATTGATATGTAACCTAGCGGGGGCCAGCCTTTTTGGCAGACATGCCACAAATTAGCCCCATACACTTCCCAAGTGTCACTCTGATCCCCTTCCCTTGCCTGATCTGCTGCTCTCCTTTCTGCTCTGTGCTTCCTCCCCAATCTGTTGCTCTAATTTCTGCGTTTTTCTCTCTGCTCCCTGCCCTATCTGCTGCTTTGCATTGTGCCCTGTTTCACACTGCTGCTTGTCTCCTCCCTGATCTGCCAGAGGGGACACGTACTACAGGTAGGCCACCCCTGATATAACTGATGAGAACTGCCAGCTCTTTAATTAAGGTTATTATCCATGGTTGTTGTTTATATCCATTGTTTATCAAACTGCACAGCATGATACACTTTCATGTCATAACTATTTAAATGTACCTGTAAACAGTCATCCAATTTTTGTTGGGCTATGTTTTATCTAACTTTAATAAATAGTCTATGACAACCTGCAATTTTACTTTTAATGAGAAATAAAACATCCTAAGGCAACTGAGCTGACAGTTTAAAACATTGGTGTATGAAAACTGGCTTCAAACAAAATGGACTTTTGCACTTAATGTCATGGACATTTATGTATTTATTTTTTCTTCTCCCTCTATTAGGGTTCAAACATGTTTCAGGGTTAAAAGGGGCATGCCAGTCAAGCTGCGTAATACTTGGGCTAAGGAATACTGTAATTCAAGGCTATTTTTGGATGCTGCTAATAGGAGTTTTTTGCCCTTAACACTGCTAACCTGGGAAAAGAGAACTATATCTTGCATGTTTTCAAGAAGACTGAGACATCTGCTGAACAGTCAAGACCATCTTTTTTAACTCATACTCATTTAAATGAGGGATCATTAGCTTTTCCCCTTGCATTGATGACATTGACTTATACCAGCAAAGTTACCTCTGCAACAAATAACTTTATCAGGGTTTTATACCTGTTGCAGGGTATGTAATTACAACAGGAGATCATCGACTAATCCATAATTTCAATAACAACCAACAATTGTTGGATTTTGCAGAATTGGATACCTTTTTTTTTTTTTTTTTTTTTTTTACCTGAAAGGTGTGCTACCAGTGGGACCATTATGGTGCCCTATAAATGAAAAACTCCTAAACCTTCCTTAAGCAGGCAAAAAGAGGAGTGAGTAGTGGACTTTGCCACATATTCCTATTTATAGTCTTGTACACTTTTTTTTTTTTGGTTAGCAATGCGCAAATATGCTGCATTTTGCTTTCCATCTGTCTTATGGAAGGTAAAACAAATCAATATGCTACTTTGGCTAATAAGAACTGGATGAGAGATGCAACATTCCTATCCAGATGCAAACTTCTGAGGCATTTGATGTGATATTGAAAAATGTAGGGTTTATTTATTTAGGCTGACTTATAGGTGCAGGTAGGTTTAAAGTTCAAAACTGACTAAGTTCTTGGAAGACTTTTGAGACGCTGGGTTCCATATGGGGGTTTGCTTCGGAGCCTTATAAGTGGATCTTTACTTTCTTTGTTGCTGAAGAGAAGGCTGAGAGGTGATCTTCTGGCCATCTACAAACTCATGGGGGGAGGGGGGGGCGCATCAGGAAATAGGGGATGCAATGTTTACCAGGATGCCCATCGAGGTAACTAGAAACTATGGCCACAAACTGAAGGAGAGCAAATTTAGTTTGGACATCAGGAAAAAAAATTTTTACTGTGAGGGTTGCCAAAATATGGAATACGCTTCCAGGGGAGGTGGTGCTGTCTGCTTCCTTGGAGGTATTTTGGAGATCGGACAAACACCTGGCTGGGGTCATCTAAACCCAGCGCTCTTTCCTGCCCGGGGCAGGGGATCGGGATCTAATAGGTCCCATCTGACTCTAAAATCTGTGAAGTTAGAGAGAGACCTGCTACTTCAGTCTCTGGTACTACAAAGCAGTCAGTTTATTTAACAAACAAAACCTTCCTTTTTATGACATTAAACAGTTATTTTAATTTTTAGAACGTAGGCATGAAACCTGGCGGCTCCCCCTAAGACTGGGATGTCAAACATACGGCCTGTGGTCTGCGTCCAGACTTCAGAGCCAGGTCATCTGGCCCACAGCCTTGATGGGGGTAAGGTGGGACCTTCCTGCAGCTGTAGCCAGGTGCCCTGGCAACAGCAGCTGTGTTAGAGATCCAGTAGCACTTTGAGAAGGAGTCCGGCACCATGGCTTGTTTCCACAGTGGCAGTCAAGTGCCCGGGCTGGTGAGAGTTACAACACTGGAGCCACAGCAGCATTGTGGGAAGAAACCCGACACTGCTGCTTCTTCCCTCAGTGGCAGACAAGTGCCCAGGATGCTGGGCCTCTTTCCCCTGAGTCCCAGACTGGAAGTGGGGGTAGATCTGTGGGCCTGGTCTAGCCCACAGGACTGACCCTATAGCATTCATTTGGCCTATGGACTGATCTGGCACCAGTCATCTGGCCCCAAGGGCCCAAGGAGTTTGACATCCCTGCCTTAAAAGTTTACAAGTTACCACTTTACATATGCATAGCATCTAAGAAGCTGTTGTAAATCTGAATGGGGCTTCAAGATGCTATTGTAATGCAGATGATGATAAACAAGGATTAGTTAGTAAGTAGGACAGAATTATGGGGGAAAAGATTTATGCTTACTTCAATTGCTGTGGCCCCAACTGAAGCTTAAAAGGATAAACTTCAGTCGCTGTCTCAGTATGTAGTTTGGCTAACCTAGGCACTATTGGTTACAGTAAGAAGAGTACAAATGTATGGGCTCCTTGGAATTTTCATGGTGAAATAAATAGGAAGCAGAAGGAATCTCTACTGGACAAGTATTTGTGTGACTTCTGGCTTATTTATCTCTGCATTATTTTAACTTTGACTCTGCTTCAGCTTGTCGGGAATGAAATTGCTTGAAGGCAACATAAAAACAACTTACACTGCATTTGTTGCTGGATCCCTGGGCTGTATTCCTATGCCTGACCTAGATGTATAAGTTCTTTAAAGCAACATTGGAGGCAAAATGTGTTTTGAGGGTATTGAAATATGTATGGCAAGGTTCTTTGGTACATCCTGTCACACTTTTAGCTTCTTTCATTCCTTGGCGTATCGGAACAGCAGAGACTCCCTATGCCTTAAGAAAGGTGATCACACCCTAAAGCTTGCAAAGCACTTTTTCCCAATTACTCAGTTGGTCTAATAAAGATAGCATGTCTACGTTGCCTACCTGTGTCCTTAGACCAACATGGCTACAACCAAAAACCCTTGAAATGTGTATGGCACTTAGGGGCAGTACGTATGGCACTTAGGTTCTCCTGTTTACTTAATTCTTGTGGAGCTTTCTACAAGGTTGTTTAGCTTGCAGAGGATCATCAGAGGATCTTCCAAGTTCTTTGAATCAAGCAATGTCATTTTGCTCTGGAAGCAGGCTCAGCCAATGTGTAGTTTAATAGTACTGTAATTTAACTCTTACTCATTGTTTCCCTCATAGATAAATCCCGAAGTAATTGATAAAGGGAGGATCCTAAAAGGGGCAATTAAAGTACCTAGCTTTGAAAAGTGACTTATGCAGCTACATTTGGATGGTGAGTGGAGCTTGAAATAACTACTCTCTTTTTTCCATTCTTGTACCGAGCATGTAGGAAGTGATGAGAGAAGTGGGAATCTGAGCCTTACAAAAATACTTGGCCATTTAGGGAAGAAAAAGAAAATGAGAGAGCAAAAAAGATGGCCATCAGAGCAAGAGACTTAATATAACTGCCAGTGTTGCAGGAGTCTTGGACACTCAGGCAGAAAGAAAAATTGAAAGCAAAAGTAAATGCATTAATCAAACTGTCAGCTTTGATGAAGGATAGTCCTGGCAGGGAACAGGAGTTTCTGTGGTAGAGAATATATCAAGCTTGAATTAGAGGAAATAAATGGCAGTAGAATTATATATGAAAATCATGACAATATGGAGAACTTAGAAGCAAATCCCTTCCCCTGTGTTCAGCTGAAATGAGTGGGTTGGACGCTAGGATTCTCTATAGAACTGAGAGAGAAAGATCCTCTCTTCCAGGGACATAATAGATCCATTCCACTGCTGTTGCTTTGTCTTCAGGGCTAGAGTAGCTTGTCATACTTCATAGGATGCAATGACAGGCAGCTCAGTGAGTACAGCATTGACACTGTCTAGTGTTCCTAAGCACCCTGTGCTGAGAGTTCTGCATGGCATTACCTGGACTGGACTTCACTGTGTGCAAGGAACTTGCACATCCCTTACTGGCAGGGAGAGCACAGACTCCTAACCTGTACAGTGCTACAGTGCACGTTCTTTTTGGTTGGACTTTGTTTATGCAAAGACTTCTTTAAACTGGTATAGTATGATACTGATAAAAGGGCTTAAATTGGGGGTAATGGCTTACACTGGCAGAGTTGTGTAAAGTGGCTTTAACTGAAAATCAGACCTGTTTTGCATACGACTTCTTTACTTACAGAAAAGTTACTAAGATCTGTTTCCTGAGGAAAAGACAAAGGAAAGAATGTAGAGAACAGGCTCCAGGGTGGACATTTTAGAAAATACTTTAATGAGATTAAAATACTTTAATTCCTTTTGGCTGTAAAGGAAAGCTAAGAATGAGAGCCTCTGTTATTCAAGAGAAGACAATTCTTAGAAAAACAGGACTGCAATGGACTTCAGCCACCTTGCTCAAGGCAAGATCATCTCTGTCTAAATACCTCAGACAAATGTTGCTTTTATCAGCACTTTGAAAACTGTCGTTGGAAGTTTTTACAACTTCCCTAGATAATGCGTGCTTTTGCTTAACAGCCCTCGCTGGAAGTTTTTCTTAATATCTTACCTAAATCTCCTTTGTTGCAATTTAAGCTCATTATTTCTGTATCCACAGATGGCAGGACAAGAGGACAATGGCTGTCAAATCCAGCCCGAGTCTTCTCTAGACGGACTAATTCCAGTTCTTTCAAGTTTTTCTCATGCCTGTTGTCTAGAGCACTAACTGTTTTCATTGTTCTTCTCTGGAGCCTTTGCAAGTTGGCCACATCTTTCTTGAAAGGCCATGGCCAAAACTGGACATGGTACTCCAGGTGAGTCGTCTTCATCAGTGCTGAATAGAGTGGAATCACTTGACTTATTCATACCTCTCCTGTTAATACATTCCAACATTGTTGCATTTTTTTTTAAATGGGCACTTGGTTTGCATTTTCCAGTCTTGCCTAACCTCCATGAGTACTCAAAGACTATAGCTACTTACTATTTCTGCAGTTATTTCAGTGCTTCCTTGAGAATCTTGGGAGGAAACTCATCAGGCCCTGCTGATTTGGAAACAACCATCTCCTCGAACTAATCTCTTGCTTGTTCTTTTTCTACCCTAGCTGATTATCTGCCCCCTTCTTCCCCACCCCCTTGCTAGCTGCTTGATATCTAATAGTTGGCCTTTTCTTTGAAGACTAAAGCAAAAAAAGTGTTAAACAGTTCAAACTTTGCCCTATTGTCTATTTTTAAATTTTCCATTGCCCATTCAGTAAGGTGCCTGCATATCCCTTGGTCTTCCTCTTTCTTCTAATTATAACATGCTTTCTTATTGCCTTTTATCTCAGTTTGTGCCTTGCCCTTCTGATTTTGTCCCTGCTTGCTCTTACTATACCTTTTATACCGGTCATAGTAACATTAGCCAAGTTACCTTTTTTATGTTTCATTAAGTCGTTGGAAAGCTTTTTTTCTTTTTAAGCAAGAAACTTGCTTGGCTATGCTGCTTGTGCAGAGAAAGGATCAGGATAGCATACTCCTCTGCCCTTTGACTTTTTTCTCTTTAAAGAATAAAAACTTTCCTAGATTCCTGTTTGCTTTAGATTTGCTTCCCATGGGATGATGTCTGCCAGATCTCTTGACAAAACTTAATTCAGCTGTCCTCCCTCCTTTTTGTAGTTCCTGTAATTTTACAGTCATTACTGTCACCCATGTTGCCTTTCATCTCCGGATTCTCAGCCAGTTCCTCCTTGTTACAGCAAGTTCTGAAGAGCTTCCCCTAGCTGGTTTCTCCACGGTTTATACCAAAAAGTTGTCTTTAACAGAATCCAAACACTTTCTGGCCTCTATGCACTGCCATATTGTCTTCCCAGCAAAGAGCATGGTAATTCAAGTCGTTCATAAGTGCCAGGTCCTATGGCTCAGGTACTTCCGTTAGTTGTTTGAAAAAGGCTGCCAAACCAGATCACAGATGCCCAATTGTGGGTGTGTCCAGACAACCGTGCACGTGCAGTATGCAGCGCTGCAGACTTGTCTGCAGTGCTGCACGTTGCACATGCAGGCATTCTTGGTGCTGCTAATTTGCAGCATGTAGGGAGGCTTTCTGACACAGAGATCCTGGTATCAAAGAGTGCCCAAAAAAGTGGGGAGATGCATGTGCTGGCAGAGTGTGCTGCCTGAAACTGAAGCCATGCACCAGCTGCTGGCCAGGCTTCCTGTTGCTGGATTGCTGCGGCTGTAGCCCCCAGGACCCCAGGTAAGGCTGCTGAGGCTAGCCCAGGTGCTGGCTCCAGCCTCCTTTACCCTGCACAGGGCAACATGTTGCAAGCCAGAGCGCACATGCACGGGCATTTCCTGGGGACAAGTAGCAGTGGCATATTTTATGCTGCTGCTGTTTGTCCCTGTTCTTGCTTGTGGGGACTGGTGCGGATGTGTTCCATGGGATCATCCTTGCTATCCCCCTCCTTTTTTTTTTTTTTCAGCCTTAACCCAGATGCTTTCAGCAAGTGTGCCATGTGCTTTGTTCCACACCTCAGAGCCAGTGGGATGTCTGCCATTGGCTTCGTAAGAATGTTGCCCCCACACGTAGTCTTGTGCCCTACTCTCACTTCATCCCAAAGACAGATGCTGCTAGCCAAGCGGGGTGGGGGTGGGCAGAGGCACTGAAGGCCATGATGAGGCTACATGTAGGAGCTCGTCTGAAGGCAGCTTGATAATGTTCCTTTTGTGTGTGTGTGTGTGTTTGTTTTTGAAGAAAGGGGGTCAAAGAGGTAGAGAAAAGGCTAGGAGGTGGTGGTGCTCCTGGCTTTTAGCACAAGCGCTGGGAGCTCTTCGCTGCCCTTCAAGGTAGGCGAGTCCGTAGTGCTAGGAGGAAATACTTTATCCGCCTCCTAGGTCTTTGGTGAACGCCTTTTGCAACGGTTTAAAGCCAGGCCCTGCTCCAGTCTTGAATAAACGGTTATATTTACACTAAATCATGGGGGGAGGGGAGGGGTCTGAGCCGCTCTCCCGGGGCCCGCGAGGCGCGAGCGGCGCTGCTGAGAGCCGCGCTGGGCTGTGAC